TTCGGGGCCTCTTTGAGACATCGGACTCTGCCGCGCTGCCGTACCCTCGGACTCCTTCATCCACTCATCTACACTATATCCCCCCTGGAATTATTTTGTTTATATAAAACCCAAGTGGATATTAAACATATTATTGTTATTAAGGGTCTAAGGGGAGTATAGTATAACCGCGGCTTCTTCAACCCTGAACGCCATTAGCCTCAGCTACTCGGCTTCCAGAGACAGCGCGTTAACCTAGGGAGAGACCTTTTCACGGGAATCTTGCGCTTCAAGATCAGCCCTAACCGAAGCACCACTAGCCTGAACAACCGCCATCCCACGCCATTCTTCGGCCCCCCTAAGGCGGCACCGGAGATCAATGTCCAGCAGCCTGGACGTCAATTTTTGGAGTTGGGGGGGGGGGGGAAGGCCAAGAGTGCTAGAGTCTCTCCGCTCCCGCTCTCTCTCTGTCTCTCTCTCTGTCTTTCTCTGTCCCTCTCGCTCTCGCTCTCTCTCAAGGCCGCTTGGGCTCCCTTTGGTCATTTTACACGCCGCTAACGAATGCCGAAACTGGAACCTGCCGCGCCTAAGCGCCTTACAGTAGTCCGCGGGCCGAAACCTTTTTTAAAGGCCCCAAGTAAATGCTTGGGGCCGTCGTTCTTGGACCGCACCCGTGCCGCACCTGACTTGCGCCAGCTGCACAAGAGAAGCACTACTGAAACCTTCTCTGTGGCCCAAGATCCCCCTAAACCCTTGAACCTTGTGTGGCTCCAGATCTTGATAAGCCCGGGTCCAGCGGCTTCACATCCCGATTTCAGCGCCTCTTGGAGCGATATGGTCTTGGAAGAGCTCAACGACTTCCAGCTCTTTCGTGCATGCGGTCCGCTCTACCCCGCCTTCGCGATCGAGAGCCTTACAAGCATCATTCTGGGCTTCTTCTTCACCTACCTCGCCCTCCGCATCGTGGTGAGGACGGATGTCAAGAAGCCCATCAATGCTTCGTGGCGGATGTTTCGGGACTACATCTCTCCAGCTGTGGACGAATGGTGGACTTTGATGAAGACCTGGCCGGATATGCCCAAGAAGAAGTGTGCGGACAGAATCACCTACTGCCGGAACCTCAACATTGCCATGTGCGTTGCGCAGGCAGCAGCGGCCTTCTTCTCCGTGTTCCGCTGGCTGCACATCGAGAATGTTAATGGTCTCCGGTACCTGGGCTACGCCTTCACCTGCTCCCTGATGCAGGCAGAGCTCGTGGTTCTCATCGCTCCCTACGTTCCTTGCTACAAGCTCAACGTTGTCTTCGTGGTCCTCTTCACCCACGCCTTCCTCATCTGTGGCTGGATCGGTTCCTTGCACGAGGGCTTCCTCTTTGAGGATGCCTCATGGGAGCTCTTCAAATCGTCCTGGGACGTCTCAATCTTGGTGATCACGAACAAGGGCATTGCCATTGGAATCACGACCTTCTGCCTTCTCTTCCTCTGCCTTGTGCAGATGCCCTTCCTCGCCTTGTGCTACTTCTGGGCAGGAGGGTGCCGTGCCCACCGTGACCTTCCCTACTACTACCTCCGCGTGATGTGCGCGGTGTGGTTCACATGGCCGGCCTTTCCATGCTGGTGGCTGATCTCGGCAGAAGGCCTCGGCCTCCTGGGAGACGCGAAAAGCAACGCCGTGGGCTTCGCCGTCCTGAACATGATCTCCAAGGGCGGCTTCACCGTGAACATGCTCAGGATTGGTGCGGACCACCGCAAAAGGTGGCCCGACGCGCCAGCGCCCAAAGGGCGTCAGAGCTGGCTGGTCGGGAAGCTCCAAGAGTATGAATCCGAGCTCACGGAGAGTCAGACCATCCGTCGCTTGCAGGCTGAGAATGCTGAGCTGAAGGCGAAGATGGGCACGAGCACCACGCCGGAGCCGAAGCTCCAGGATGCACAGGAGGTGACGGAGAACACCGAGAAAGCCGCTGAGCCGAAGGCCCGACCCGACACGCTCTGGGTCTGAAGCGCACGTCACAGCGATGCTTAAAGGGGAGGGAGAGTGAAGGTAGGGCAATGTGGGCCATGTAACGTAGGGCACGCAGGTTGTGACGTTTGTTTGCCGGGATCCACTCCTCCACTTTTTAGGCACGCCGTGAGTTTGCAAAGGTTCCCTTGGGATTTTGAGGGCTCCGGCAGCGATGTGCAGCCAAGCGCACACCGGGAGACGGAGAAAAACATAGTAAAACGGCTGAGTCGAAGACCCGGCCACACTTTGGGTGTGGAGTCGTGGAGACTGTCACACTGGTGCCTGACCGGCCCGTAGGCTCCTGTAAAGGTGCTGTGGGGAGGGAAGGAGGGCAGGCTTGTGATATTTGCGGTTTATTGATAGGGATCCATGCTTCCACTCCCCTCAGCTTCTGCAATTTTATCAAGGAAATCCCACGGCCCTCGAAGCTCTCAGAGGACCATTCAGAATCCATCGGCTGATCACTTTTGCTGCGGGGGGTGGGGAGGAACGACTTTTAGAAGCCCCCCCCAACCGTGGCAAGTGATCAGTTTCTGAACAGGCCTGGCTGCTAGCCTTGAGATCATCCTTAATTAGGATGCTTCTGCGTTGCGGACAAGGATGTGCACGGCAACAGAAACTGGCGCGCGCAGTGCATGTAGGGTGTCGCTTATCTAGAAGCCTCATTATCAGGGAACCCTACTATTTTGGGGTCTATATTCGGGTCCCTGATTTAAGGTTTTGCTTTTGTGAGGCTGAGGTCTCAGAAACATGCTCCGGTTTGAGGGTGGGCAAAGCCTGCTGTCGCAGCCAGTTCGACATTGTGGTCGAGTGAGGGGTTTTTGAAAACTGCAGCGGCGACTTACCTCTCCACTTTTGAGATTGAGGCACGTTGTCCGAGTCACGCATCTCGAAACAGAATTGAGCCATGCTTTTCTCCCATCCCCGAACATCCCCGGAGAGTGCAGGTCCCTGAATTCAGGAAATGTAGATTTATACTTCAAACTATCATGATTTAGGGTTTAGGGTTTAGGGTTTGGGCCCTCATTTTGTGAAGAAACTTCCGCGCTCCTTGGGCCTTATGGGCACCTCGAGGCCTAGACGGGTGCGGCCTTAGCCCAGGACAGCGCCCGAAGATGCCGAGGACGGCGACCCGGACGCCTACTCGGATGAGGTGCCTCTTGAGGGATACCGATAGTAAACCCTTTTTAGGCCCTGAAATCCCCCCCTAAACCCTAAACCCTGAAACCCCCCTAAACCCAAAACCCTAAAAAGTAGAAGCCCTAAACCCTGTAGGTCTTCACGCTTACAGGTTCGGGGCGTTGATGTTTACAAGCCGATGTGCCGGCCTTTGCTGGGGCAGATAGGTGAGTCGGGTTTAGGGGTTTAGGGGTTTAGGGGTTTAGGGGTTTAGGGGTTTAGGGGTTTAGGGGTTTAGGGGTTTAGGGGTTTAGGGTTTAGGGGTTTAGGGGTTTAGGGGTTTAGGGTTTAGGGGTTTAGTGTTGAATGTTGAGTTCCGAGTTGTAACCTGGCTCAACAATACAAAGTGGTTCGTAGCTGTACGAGATGTTGCCGAAACAGGATCAAAAGAGACTGTCCCAGAAACCCAAAGAGCAAAAGGAACAACATAAAAACAAAGAAATAAAACAAAAAGCCACCCATTTACAAGATATGAAACCGGAAGCCTCGAGCCTCCCGCCTTTGAGTTGGCAGCCCAAAGCTTTGACACCTTGAAGCTTTACCCTGGGCTTTGGAGTACTATACTTTAATACTTTTTTTGGTTTAGGGTTCCTATTGCAGCTACTTATACCTAAAAAGTATATACTTTTTTCCTGGGTCTACTCCAGAGGTAAGTACCAGTTTCAACCTCAAGCCCTCAACCCTAAAGCCTCTGAGTCAGCTAGGCGGGGTGGGCGGCAGTTCCCCCCCAAGACTCTGAAGCCTAAAACCTCCTGTCGTCAAGGCTGCCGTCCAAAGCTGGACACTCTGATTCCGCCTGGACCCGGAAACTCCCTATAAGCAAAAGTGCAGACCTACGAGGAGAGAAACATCAACTTAAAGAAGCAAGCAATTCTAAGCAATAAATGCTTTTTTCTCAAGACAAGTATTGCAAGTGCTTCTTCTAGATAACTCGTGCTTTTACTAGGTAAACATTATCTATGTGAATTTAGCTAACAGAGCACCAAGCAATGGCTGAATAAGGTCTCTTACACTTGAGTACAACCAAAAGATGCACTAAGAACTAGTTGAAATAGAAGCTAAGCACGAAACAAATGATTCTGAAGCACTACGAAGACCACTTGTATGCTATTTCTGAAAAGCACAATTTGCATAAGCGCACTTAAACTTCGTAGTTATTGCCTCGTAAAGGCGAACCAAAAAAGCAAAATACCAAAATCAAAAAACAAAAACCACCAAAACCAAAACAACCAAAAGAACCAACACCAAAAAAAAACAAACAAACAAATTTTCCGGAGCTCTTGGAGAAGCCTCATAGGGATTTCTGAGAGTCCCAGATTGTTTTTTTTGTTTTTTGGTTTTGTTGTTTTTGGTTTTTTTGGTTTTGGCATTTTTGGCTTTCTCTACTGTCCTGTGTATTCGGAATTAATTGTATTCTCGTCTACGCCCAGGAAATATGCTATGTAGCACACTGAGTTTGCTTGCAGTGCAGCTGGGTGACTTGCTGGGGGGGGGGGGGGGGGGGGGGGGGGGGGGAGGGGGGGGGGGCGGGGGGGGGGGGGGGGGGGGGGGGGGGGGGGGGGGGGTTGGGGGGGGGGGTGGGGGGGGGGTGCCAAAAAGAAAGAAAAGGCAGATGTCAGGGGGGGGGGGGGGTACCATATATATATATATATATATATAAATATACACACATATATATATATGTATACATTTTGTCAGCCAGGCAATCAAGTTGCCAAGGATAGCCCGGGAATCAGAGCAAGATCGGAAAATGGTTCGGAATGGCGCAACGCCCTGGGCGGCAGTTCTTAAACCTTCCAAGGCTTGAGGCCTTCAAGGCTACAGTCCCAAGATCTGAAACACACGAGCCAGAGGCCGCGATCCATGCAATCTAGATTTTTTTGCCACCCGTCTGGCGCCCCGCGGGGCAACTGCAGAGAGAGAGCATGTAGGGCTTAGGTTTGTTAATAACCCAGGGTGTAGGGTTTCAGGTTCATAATCATCCCCCCATTCGCATCACGGATGGTTTTTTCTTTCCTTTTTTTATTTGGGGGGGGGGGGGGGGGTTCTTGGACACGTTCCTACACGGAGTCTACGAAGCCACCCGAAGGGATGCGTTCAGCCTTCCCTTCAATGTGAGGGGGAGTGGCTAGAACCCTCAACCGCAGCTAACAATGCGTGCAGCAAGATCTGCCAAGACTACTTGTCACAAATGCGCTTGCAGCCTCCCGCCCCCCCCCCCTTCCCCCCGACGACTTCAAGACCTGAACGAGTGTTGCGCGCGGCGCGCGGCGCACCGCGCCACATGGGTCATCCAAAACGAGCGCCAACGTGCGCAGAAGCCCCCCTGCATGTAAGTGCGTGCAAATCGATCAACTTCGTTCCGCACTCTTAGGGTGTTCTCTGGCATTGGGCGCAGGTTGCAGGGTCCGCCAGACTTACAGTAAGAGTCATTTTGGGATGCTTTGGGCGTTTTAGGGTTTTGGATTTAATAGCTGGACATGAACTGATATTCGAAGAGCCCTCACTGTCAACACCCTTTCAAAGACGGCATGGAGTTAATGAAAAGTTCCGATTTTGACCACCTGAATGAAGCTTGGGAAAAGTTGCTGGGTGTGGAGTTAAGGGGACCCCTCAGATCATGCAGCAGAAATGTTCGGTTCGCCCCTCAGCATCCCAACCCTGCAGTACGGCGACGAGGAGTACGAGCCGCCAGACAGCCCCCAGGAGTTAGCCGGTGAAGTGGGTTTCGGGTTTAGGTTTAGGGTTCCCTAAACCCTGAACCCTACCCCCTAAAGCCCCTTGATGGGCTTATAAAGGAATTTGACCTTCAATGGTCTACTCTTGGGGCTAAATTTGATCCATTTCTTACAGGCTTCGTTTTTCTCTCCACTGGTACCTCATTTAGGGGTTTTGCAAGATCATGAACACGTGTCAGGCTGCTTCGAACATCAAGAGCGCTAGGGTCAAACGGCGCCTTCCATAAAGTCGCCAGCGTTGTGGTTCTTGCTGCGTACTTTTGCCGCACGTATCCAAAAAGCCTACACCCTAGCAACTGACTGTTGTGTTTTGGAAGCGGTTGGAGGCTAGGGTTCAGGGTTTAGGGTTTAAGCAGGCAGTGCAGCAGTCCTAGCCGCAAAAAGGGTTTAAATCCAGGAGCGTCCCAAGGAGGAGGAGCCTGGCTCGCAGCTCCAAAAGCAGGCATCTTGGGGGGCAGGGCTTCAAGTGAGAGAGTCCTCGGTGAAAAGGGGCGGTTGGGGTTTGGGTGTTTAGGGGGTCTAGGGTGTTGCAACCCTTGACTTTCTGGTAGAAACATAAGAGATCGAGAAAGGAGAGAGAGAGAGAGGGGCGGGAGGGCCAGAGGGCCAGAGGGAGACGGGGCGAGAGCGGAGAGAGCGGAGAGGGAGAGGGAGGGGAGTGTTTTTGTGCCCTGGACAGATTGCAAAAAAATTGCAGGTTGGGCTGTGAATAGCCGTTCTAACTCCTACGCGCATCTGCCGCCAAGCATTCAGGTAGTGACGCAAGAGTTGGAAGTGCAGATATGCTGCGATCTGCTAGTCAGATCACCCACTCAGATCTGGGTCCTATATAATAGAACTACGAAGTGAATAAAATGAACGTATTCTGCAAGGAGCACCGCCTGGCGCGCGAAGATTATGAACAAAGCGAATGCCCCAAACTCATTTCCTTTATATGACAATGAGCGTATGAATGAGTGAGCGAAGTGAGCGCACGAGAGCCCCATTAATTAAAGGAGCGTAGAAAGAGTTTACCGTTTGGGGTTCTAGTAGTTTGCGGAGGCATGGGCTAGATCCGAAAGCCCAGAGCTTTGGCCCGGAACCGGCCGATAGGACTCTTCCCCGGTCGCCCCCTCCTTCGTCCCTCATGTCCAGCCTCGTGAAGTTTGTGCTGGTCTTGCTCCCTGTTTCCTGGGGGTGCAGCTACGTGGAGATTGCATATCCAGACAGTGGCAAGACGTCCTACCTCATTCCGAGAACCATGGAGCTGTGGGACTTGTTCAATACCACCAAGTACAGCATTGATGCAGTTCCGCGAGGTGGTGGGAACAAGTTGGGTTGGCTTGCGCCGATGAACATCTTCCACTTTCCTCCGAGCTACCAGCCTCTCAAATGCCCTTTTGAGGGCATGAACGAGGCTGGCCTGACGGTCTCTGCGCTCTATCTGGCGCAGTCGGTCTATGAGCAGCCAGAGCCAGGAAAGCGGGCGATCCCGGTGTTGGAGCTCGTCCCTGCGATCCTTGCAAACTGCTCCACCGTCGACGAGGCCGTGAAAATGCTCGAGGCTGTGAACGTCGTGACCGAAAGAAACCCGCACTTTCCAGACGCGGTGCTCAAGACAGCCACTTTGCACTGGGCAATCGCGGATCCTTCTGGACGTTCAATTATCGTCGAGTATATTCAAGGCCAGCGTATGATTCATGAGAACACGCTAAGGGTCATGACGAACGACCCAGACATCAAGTGGCATTGGAGGAACTTGAACACCCGCATTCACTTGAGCCCATCTTTTCCGTATCAGAACGAGTTCATGCAAGTGAAGGCGGATGACGAGGTGGGAGTTGTCCCACGTGCAATGGGCCATGGCTATAATCTCGTCGGCCTTCCCGGAGACACGACTTCACCAAGTCGTTTCATCCGATTATTTTACTTGCGCGGCTATTCCATGGAAGCAATGCCCATCAAGAGCTTCGACGATGCTGTCGTTTTGGGAACCGGACTTCTCAACAATGTCTGGATTCCGTTTGGCCCGGCCGCCAAGGATCCCAGAGCTGGGCCGAGCGATGGCGCCGAATTCACGGACTATGGCGTCCTGAAAGCTCCCAAGGAGAAAGTGTATCTGATCCGAGCCTATCGGAATACGCAGTGGCGCAAAGTCGATCTCAAACGGCTGGACTTCTCCAAGGGCTACACGTGGCCGCTTGAAGATGGCTCGCTGGGTATCGTGGACATCACAGATGCCGGTAAGATCACTACTCCCAAACAATCGGAGCTTTGAGCACAATGTGACATTCTTGCACCAAGGCTTCGTTTTCGAGCTGCCAGGGCAATGCAGAGAGCATCCCGTGAATGCAGCAACGGCCTCGTGAACGTGGCTGTCATTTTCCAGCACTGGAGTTCGCAGTTCCTGAACAGTTAATTACTGCAGACTCCTGTTCGCAAGGGTCGATCATCATCTTGTGACAGTCTTGTGCAAAGCAGAGTCCGGATTCTCCTCGATGCCGGAAGCAAAACAAGAGCCCTGCGCCCTTGCGCTCGTCACTGCCCTCCGTCTGTTGAGGAGGTATGGCTCAGGGATGGGCTGAATTGTCGGAGCCTTAAGGCTTTATAGGGCTTAGGGTCCAGCTAACCCCGTGCGTGTGCACAGAATCGCAGACCTGGGGTCTGCACCAAACAGTCACTGATCCTACTTGAGCGAGCCAGTTCACGGAAACCCATGATCCGAATTGTTGAACTGAATCGTGGCCCTACCCTCAAAGAGTCTCAACTGACGAACGATATGAAAGACCTGGCTCAGAAAGGTAATCAAAGTCGCATAAACCCCAATGAGGGCTTGCCAGGCATGCGCACTTCTACACTTGATCCCTGGGCCTTCAACCTTGATACCAATTTCTGCCTAAGTAGAGGACACATACGACTTCGATGCATCGGCTGGCGATGCGGATCCCATGCAGGTGGGTGGCACTCAGGGTCTAAGGGCTTTAGTGTGATGCAGGGCACTCCCCCAATGCCCAACCCAGTCCCAATATGCCGTCACCAATAGATCCGCAACCCCGGTACTCGAGACCCCAACCCAATTGAGTACAGTTGTTTGCCAACCTTGCATCGATCGTTTTAGCGGTTTTGCACAACTCTGGCAGTTGGAGAAGCCCGATACCTGTAAAGCCGCCTTCACAGGTTTTTTTTTGGGGACAAGGGGAACTGGGTGCAGAAGGAGGCATGGAGGACATGTATGCGCAGACGCATTCTGACGCATTCTTCCCCTCGTCGGCTTGCCATGCGCAATCTTGACTCCAAACCTTGAACGTCAAGCAAGATGCGTTGGAACATGGAAGGTGGTTTTTTTTCACTCGAGCTTTAAGGGTTCACAGGGGCGTGGCGATACTTCTCGCTGCTTCGGGGGTTTCGTGCCCTAAGCCTGAACCTCCTCTTAAACCCTAAACCCTGAACCCTGAACCCTAAACCCTAAACCAAGCCGGGAGGATGAGTACGAAGATGAGGACTACGCGGATGCCAGCTTCGCGGAAGCCACGCAGGAGAGTCCTTGCCAAACCCTAAACCCCAAACCCCAGGCACTCCGAACACTCTCTAAGCCCCCAAAAGACAAATTCCCAGTCTTTTGGTGCCCAGCTTTTCAGACAAATTCCCAGCGCCCAGCTTTCCAGGAACCCCTGACTGAAAGGGTTTAGCAGTAGGGTTTAGGGTTTTAAGGGCTCTAAGGGACTGGGCTCAAAAGGGGTTTAGGGTTTCGCGGCCCTTGTGGTTTCAGGTAGAAGGAGGGTTGGAACCTGGGCACTGCAGGAGGCTTTTCACGAGGCAGACCCGGCCGAGGCATCCCAGGCCGATGGCAGCGAAATGGGATTCTAGGACCGGGAGTAGGCCCTTTTTGTTCCTTCAAAAAGGGTACCCTTCTTATTCCTGGGCTACAGGATTCTAGCCTTTGTACCACACATGTGGGCGTACGCAGAGGGTAGAGTCTGGTCGATTCTTGCTCTGTACGGGGCACAAGGGCTTGGGCGTGGGGAGGTTAGCAGGGTGTTGCCGGGGGGGGGGGGGGGGGCGGAGGGAAGCTTCACGTAAACGGTGAGTGAAGCTCCGCAAAGGCACGGGTGAAAAGCTGCTCTTGGACATTGCATGCCCAGAGTCTGCCCAAGAGGTGGGAGATGTGGCTGCGATGGCAGCTCCTGGTGCGATCGCAGCTTGGGCTGGTTTAGGGTTTAGGGTTTAGGGTTTAGGGTTTAGGGTTTAGGGTTTAGGGTTTAGGGTTTAGGGTTTAGGGTTTAGGGTTTAGGGTGCAGGGTTTAGGGTTTAGGGTTTAGGGTTTAGGGTTCAGGGTTCAGGGTTTAGGGTTCAGGGTTTAGGGTTTAGGGTTTAGGGGTCGGGGTCTGGTTGTCAGGCAGTTGGGCTTAGTGCATGTTTGGACTCGGTTCATGAGGTTCAAATTCTACGTATCGAAAAGGGTCTCAGGTTCTCGTGAGGCCCTCCGCGGCCCGTGAACCTTGAAGCCTGAACACTGTCTTACGTACACGGGGGGGGGGGTATATGCTCAGCCAAGGTATGGGGGTTTAGAGAACATTTTGGAGACTGTTTTGTAGATTGTTCTGTAGCTCACTAGTTCACTGTCAGTATGCTGTTGAGGGTCTCGTGGTGCCAAAAGGTTTGCTTGCTTCCTTTCTTGCTGGCGCCGAGTTGTCAAACCTCGGCCTTGAAATCCCAAAGCCTCTGTAAAGCAGAAACCCCCGCGTCCCAGGCCGCTTTCCCCGAGGAAGAGAACCTCCACTTGCCAGCATCTCTACCTGAGGATCGCCTGGGAGTTTCAAGGGCTAGGGGTCCGGAACCCTAAGCCCCCTATGAGTCGAAACCCCGAACGGGCCTCGAGGAATAAATTCCATGGGGCTGTTGCGCTTTGGGGCAGGGCGGAAGGTTTGGGGGGGAGCTCAGTGCAGTCAGTACCGTACCTTCGACTGCGCCGGTGCAGCTCGAGTTTCGGGCAGTGCTCAGAGTGATGTGCTCAACAGTCTTACGCACGTGTGCGACTCGGAAGCTTGCGTTCCAGAGCATTAATGCAGCTGCAGGCTGGTTGTCCGGGTGCAACAAAAGATCGGATACCTCCTGACCGGGTGGTTCCTGCACTAGGATTTATGGCATCCTGGGAGACACCCATCTCGTTTTCGGGAATGGAGCTGGCAGGCAAAGGGAGTCTCTTTAAGCACCAGGCCAGCGCTGGAATGCTCCCGAAACAGTCTCCCCTACAACACCCCCCCCCCCCACCCTTTATCATTTACTCTAATCTACTGTTTGCTTATTTAAGAACCACAAAAACTCAACGATAATATCCCGATACTGCCCTTGTAAGGAAGAACATGTGTTTGTATCTCTTTTTTTTTTGGGGGGGGGGGGGGGACGTGGGGGGGTTCTTACGCAAATAGTAGGGTTCAGGATTTGGGGTTTGTCTCTTAGTTTCAAGTGCCCGGCAGTCGTTACGAGGCCTGGATGCAAAAAGGCTGAAAGATGTTCTCCAAAAAACACAAAGCAAACAGCAGTAATGAGCTCTTAAACCCCAAAGCCAAACACCCAGACTCCAACAAAACGTCGCCTAGCCGATGCGAGGAGGAGGCAGAGCCCTTGACCGAACGTGGCGAGGCTGGGTGTGGACGGTAGTGAGGGCGGGAGGGTTAGGGTTTGGGGTTTGGGGTTTAGGGTTTAGGGTTTAGGGTTTAGGGTTAGGGCAGGGTTTAGGGTTTGGGGCTTCACCTGGGGCCTTGACCCTTGCGCCGTTTCGGTTGAACTCGTGGTCCGAAGCCCTGAACGCCGAACATCAAAAGCCCGTAATAAGCATCCAATCACCCACTCAAAAAACCAACCCGTAGACCCGAACCCCTTCCCCCCTCCAAAAAAAAGAGCCCAAAATTCCAGGAACTCCTTTCGGGGGCCTTGTTTGGGTAGTTGGTTTCAGGCAGGGTTTCAGGGTTTCGGGTTCAGGGTTGCTTAGCATGAGGTTTCATACGGCATTTCGAGACCGGACCCTTTCGACCCTTAAGCAGGCGCGAGCCTGATTCTTGCATCGCGACACGGAAGGATGCGCAACCGGTTGCCCGGCCCGCCATGGACAGCGCTGAGGAGGGTTATAGGGTTTAGGGTTTGGGGTAGCTGACTCACTGATCTTGAAACCCCCTACAAGAACCAGGTGTTTTAGGGCCAATAAATCTGGCCCTGTGCCGGGGTTTGCGATCCTGGGGCCGGCTGTACCTATACCACTTTCCTCCTAAACCTTGGGTTTAGGGTTTAGGGTTTAGGGTTTAGGGTTTAGGGTTTAGGGTTTAGGTTGCTAAGGAGCAGGGCTTCTGGCATTCCAGGGCTTCGAGCGGCTTTTTGAGCAGGATTTGGGGTGTAATGTTAGGGTCCCTTTACTAACCCCCCCCCCCCCAAATCTTGTTTTGGTCCCCGGGGTTTGGAGGGGTGGAAAAAAAGACGGGGTGCCAATAATCAATTCTGGGGGTCTGGGGGGGGGTCAGCTGTCAGGGTCTGCTTTGCTTTGTCTTGAAGGCTCTTAAGCGATTCTCAGTAAACTTTTCAATTCCAGGCCGGAAAAATTTTAGAATTACCACCCTTTTTTATTATCACCGCACCCCCCTATATAGACTTGTTTACATACATCGGCCCGAAAACCTCCCGTAATGGAAAGTAGTCTTCGGCTGGACCCCTCTGGCCCGGCGAATTTTAGTATTACCACCCCATTTATAAATGGGACTCTCACATTAGGTGTAGGGCTTCGGGCCTAAGGCCAGGTTTGGGGTTTAGGGTTTAGGGTTTAGGGTTTAGGGTTGAGGTTGCAAAGGGCTCCTTCAACAGGCTTCAGCAAAAACAAAACGTTGGCAAGAGGAGGGTCCAACTGACTCGACGCCTCATACGGGGGGAGAATATGGGGATTTCCGAAAATGGGGGCACCCTTCTGTTCCATAAGAAGGATTAAAGTGTTTTTGGGGCATCTTAAGGGTAGTTCTTTCGGGTCAATACCCCTCTTGGTGGCTGGAACACTGCGCGACAGGACGAAAGCCAGCTACACCTGACGACTCGGGTGGAGGCGCTTGGGCAACGTCTTTGGTGAACCTTAACTCCATGGCATATGGGGGGGCTCCATTTCCCAAGACTTTGGCACCATCTTTACTGGATCATTCGGCCCCCGCCTTCGAGGCCACCCTGTCGATTCACTTTCTTCGCTTGCAGCATGTTTGGGTACGTCAGAATGAGCCGCCTGAGACACGATGCGCGTTAACCCCAATCAGCACACCCCGATGCCTGACTGGGATCCCAGCAGCAAATGTCCACGGCCTACGAGCAGGGCCCTAAATGGTTGGGCATGGACAGCTGTCAGATGCACGCGCTACTCCATCGGTGCTTGACACTTTCGATACCTTCCGCTCGTTCAGCACGCGCCCGGCACGCCGCTGGAATAGGCGGCGGATTACTGTTCCTACCGAGTGCAATCTTTGTCTCGTCCCTGGAAACCCCGGGTTCGAGTTCTGCAACAATTCCCGTGTTTCTGCCCGCCCCTAAACCCTAAACCCTAAACCCTAAACCCTAAACCCTAAACCCTAAACCCTAATTCTCCTTCTTGGAGCACCTTGGACTGGCCCCTCCATGGACCATGGAGCCTGGAGCCTCCGGTCTCCGGTTAAATCCACAGGGCGGCCCCAGGAACTTTGAAAGAATTCATAGGGTTTAGGGTTCAGGGTTAGGGTTTAGGGTTTAGTTAAAAAGGGTTTAGGGTTTAGTTAAAAAGGGTTTAGGGTTTAGGGTTTAATCAGGGTTTTAACCAAACAGACTCTGAGGTCTCTGACGGTGAGGCCGTGATGCACAGTGCACCGGTTTTAGGAATTCGTAGTCATGATGTTTTTTTCAAACCTGCGGGGCGACACAAGGCCCAACAAGAGGTTCCAGCCTGTCCCAAACTCAGCCGCCCTAAGGCTTGCGAAGTTTCCCCGTAAACTTCGGGCCCGTCACGTATGGCCTACTAAACCCCTGACTCCCTAACCCACAAGCATGTACCGAAAATTAGGAAAAAAGAGGTCACGACCTTAAGACTACATCCTGCTGGACCCTAAACCATATAAACCCTCTGAAGAAGATCCGAAAAACCCATGGCCACTCCTAACGCGTCACAAGAGGAGAAGGCGGAGGAGGAGGAGGAGGACGCACCCCTCACCACGAGAGACGACAAGGCTGCCCACTCCTGCGCGGGCAGCATGGAGCCCAAAAATTGGGGTCATGTACTCCCTTTTACTAGAATTCGGATTAGGCTCATATTACCCTAAAGCCCAACTAAAACCCTAAACCTAAACCCTTTTAGGGTGCCTTTGGTCCCGAATGGCTCCGGGACCAGCTGGGGGTTGATCTTGTTCAGTCTGTTTGGCTTTTGGAGGGTTTGCAAGCTCAGCCCTCAACCTGGAAGCCCTGAACAAGTCTTCAATGATAGAAAACATAGCCCTGGTAAAGGAGAGATGTGAGGAGAATAATGCCAGCGAAGTGCAGTTGTGGCCAACACTGGAACGCACAGAAGCTGGTGGACAGCGAACGCAAAGCAGAACGTGTCTTCTGGCGGGGATGGAAAGAGGTTCCCTAAACCCTAAACCCTAAACCCCAGGTGATGAGGGGGGGGCCTAGGGCTCGGAGTGCGCACTGGCCATTTTAGCCGAGCCTCGCTCTTGAATCCTAAATCCTCCAGAGACGCCATGCCCTCTCCAGGAGGAGCAGGATGCGCCACTTACAGCCAGGGACGAGAAGGCGCCAGCTTCAGCGGGGGCTTGTGGTTTACAGGGCATATATATATATATACATACATCGGTAGCAAGGTGTATCTGGGCAAGATGCTATCAGCTCGGTGCAGTTATGGCCCACTCAAGATGAATGAGGCATCCATGTCGGATCTCGGCAGCCTGTAGAATTAGGGTAATTCGGTTCAATGCGGGAGTTAGGGAATAGTCAGCAAGGGCAGTTTCGGGTTTTGCCACCCCAAAAACCTTAACACAGCCATTCCCTAAATCCTAGACCCTAAGCCCTAAGCATGTGGTCAGGAGGAGGCACTAGAGCCTCCCGTCAAGCCTGCGGCTGAGGCTGGAACATGCTAACACGGCTTGGAGTTTGGAGTTTTTCGGGTCTAGGGTTTGGGGCTTCGGGTTTAGGAGTCTTTAAGGGCTTTGGGGTCTCAAGGGGATTCTTTGCTAGATTGATCCAGATGGCAAGTGCATGGGACAGTTGTTCGATGGAGTGGCAGAAGTAATCAAGTTGTGACTTGGCTACCTATTACCTTCTAAGCCCCGACACCTCAGCCATAAGCCCTAAACCTCAAGAACCCTCTTCTCGGGGAGAACCTGAACAGAGGGAATAAGTCCGAAAGAATCTGTGGCGCGAGCCGCAGGGATTGCAAAAAAAGTTCCAGTTCTCACGCTTTCTCTGCTGCAAGTGTGCACTTCTGGTTTAGGGTTTAGGGTTTAGGGTTTAGAGTTTCGGGTGAAAGGCCTCGCTGGGGGAAGCTCTAAGCGGCTGAAGTGGCACGGGGAAGGAGAACCATCGCCCCGGGCTGCAGCCAAGCACATGATTAGCCCACACGCATTGGGATGGTCTCCCTTTATACTGACAGCCGTCCTTATTAATTAGGGATTTTAGTACCCCACCCCCCTTTATGATCCCTATCAAGGACTGTTAAAGCACCTAGACTTTCTGCGAGCACCCCGGCCTTGGAGCGGCGTGGGCGATTGCAAATACTTCCCGCCTTTGACCGTCTGCAGTCACCACGAGACATCAGCGTGCCCTAGCGCCCCGTCGTGGGTTCCATGAGTCACCACGAAAGTCACGAAAGCATACGAACAGCCTTTGCGTCTCACTGGCACGGCACCCCCCGCGAAGCGCTGGGAGAGCAAACTGGCGCTGGCTTGAGGTTGTCGACGGCGAGGTTTCAGCATCCATTGCGATCACATTGCCCATGAAGGCCTCCACTAGCCGGATCTTGCCCAAGAAATTCAGAACCAACTAGGGTACGAACCGACGCCTTCTGGATGTTGTGGCTGATGCCCAACACGACATCAACCATGCTGAGGCCGCTGGGACAGGCAGCGGCCGGTTAGCAACCGTCACCATGGATCAAAGTTTCAACGGAATGCCGGAAGCACTCAGACATCCTCAAAGTGCCTCTGTTGGTAGAAAAGATATACTTTGGGATGTTCCCCCTTGTACTAACAGTTTAACAGCTCTTATAGTAGGGAGTATACCCTCTATTATCATTCCTCATGTACTCCTTCCGAAACCCTGGCCTTCATGGTGTGGATGGTGTCCAAAGCCCCCGTGTCAACTGACCTCGCCGGCGAGAATATTGACAAAGGCTGCGGCCATGCCAAGACTCTCCACACCTGGCTCCAAATCCAACCCAGGTCGTCCAAATACCCCATGGGTATGGTTTTAAGGTCCAAACAAACATAAGCCCAAGGGATTTGGGCCCCAAAACCATAGCTGTTGTAACTATAGCGTGTTGGGACCCTCTGGACACGTGCAGGAAGCCACCTCCCACTAGTGGGAGCTGACAAGCCAACTTCTATAATTGCGGGCGCCGCAACACCTTGGAGGGTAAATACAACTCAATGACATGGGCTTGCACACCAAACACAGGTGGATCGGAGGTTCAAGAGCCTGGGTGTGGCGTGTACTCCCATCACTGGGGCGCTCACGCCCATCTTGTCCTCCGGAGCCCCCCGACAACCCTCTGCCATTATGGTTAAAGGGTAGTTGGGGGGGGGTGCTGGCTAAGATGGAAGCTCGAAGGCAGCATCAGGCTTCAACAGGAATAATAGTCATCATTGTAGCAATAATAATGATACGGATAGTAATGATAATAGTGATAATAATAATGATGATAATAATGACAATAATGATAATAGTAAAGACAAGGCACTTGGGCGCCTCAGGGTTAAATTCGGCCACGTGGAGTAGTTTCCGCCACCAAATATCCTGCGGGCAGCAACCCCAGAGGTCCCTACACAAGCATGGGCGATTAGGCCTTTAAGGGTTTAGGGTTTAGGCCTTAGAATCCCTAACCAACCCTATGAAGGGCCTTGTTAAGGGGTTATGTAGGGTAAATTAGCGCATGTAGGTACACAAGCATCAGCACCAGAGAGGTGCCATTCAAAGTGCTTGCTACCACATACCAGAATTTTTACTTAAACCAGCAACTCTAACATCCTCAACACCTTTAACCAGCTGGCGGAAAGAGGCCGAGAAGGCGCTGCTGCCCGCGCCGCCGGACGGCGGCGCAAGCATCTGGGGCGACCAGGAGAGCGCCGCCAATCCATGGGTAAGTGTTTTCGGCTTTCAGCTTTAATAGGTCTGAGGGGGGGGTATTCTAAACCCTTATAACCCCTAAGGTCTCCCTCTTGTTTTGTGCCTAGCAGGGGAGGGTCTTCCTTGCAAAGGCCCACAACAAAAACTGCAATGGCCGAAGATGTTTAATGGCGGAAGATGGTGGCCTTTGTTGCAGCCTTTACCTTTTGTATAACCTGTACACCCACGTACATATATATATATAGGTATAAATACATATTACAATAAGGAGTTGGGAAAGAGGGGTGGGTCGATGAAGCCGCAAAGCGCGCAACGCCGGGGGTGCCAGGCCTGGACCACGCAGTTCATTTTTTGTTTTTTTTCGAAGCTTGCTCGCATCTTGGGCGACGATCTCTCACCGAATCTATCTTCGCTTTTTGGCTTCTGTGATGGCAAAATTGTGAAATGGTCGTGGCATTTGAGCGCGTGCGCTCGCCAAATTAAAGCGAAACTGGCATCGCTGTTGGACGTCTGTGTTCGCCAGATGCAAGTAGCGGTCGTGGCTGTTGGCTTTGCGGCCTGTTGGACGTGCTCCTTCGTGCCCCCACTGCATGGTCTCTCACTGTGTGGCGCTGGCAGACTGCATATTTATATGTAGGTATATCTGTGTGTGTGTGTATATGTGTATAGCCTTCAAAGAAGCCCTGCAATACCAAAGTTTATGCCTCTTCTATGCAGCCCACCTGGAGCCCCCCCCCCCATCCTGAAACTCCAAACCCCCGCACCCGAAGCCGAATTGTGCTTCAGGGGGCCTTTTGTCATGTTCGGTTGAGGGTTTAGGGTTTAGGGTTTAGGGTTTAGGGTTGAGGGTTGAGGGTTTAGGGTTTAGGGTTTAGGGTTTAGGGACTTCTCTTCAGAGACTTTGATGGACCAACCAATTGAATCTTTCCGTTCCCCTCAGCCCCCCCCCCCCCGGAGCTCTGCCATGCTGGGAACCCAAGAACCCTAGAACCCAAGAACCCTAGAACCCTAGAACCCAAGAACCCTAGAACCCTAGAACCCTAGAACCCTAGAACCCTGGAACCCTCGAACCCTAGAACCCTAGAACCCTAGAACCCTGGAACCCTAGAACCCTAAACCCTAAACATAGGGTTTTTTGGGGTTGGAAGGGCTTAGGGCTTTTGGAGATCTATGGACCATACGAGAACTCATCATAAGAACCCCTATCTAGTTCCTTGAGGCCTTTATAGTTCACTGAACCCGAAACCTGGCACGCGGAGCGTTGCTCGGGCGGGCGGCAAGAGGGATTGGATAGGGTTGGGGGTTTATAGGGTTTAGGGTTTAGGCCCCCAAAAATCGCCTCAACGTCCCAAAAAGGTCCAACAAGAATCCCTAGTGACTCCATTGGACCATTGGGACCTAAACCGTAAAACCGTAAAACCTAAACCCTAAACCCTCAACCCTAAACCCAGACAATCCGAAATCGCAAGGAACTGGAAGCCGCGATCGCCGCCTTCGAAGCCGAGGAGAGGGGTGGGAGGGGCCGTAACGATTCCAAAGAGCTTAGGGTTTAGGGTTTAGGACCCAGGGGTTCAGGTGTTGAAAGGGTTAGGGTTTCGGGTCATGTCTAGGACATGTCTTGAGGTTCTTTTGCGGTGCTCCTCAGAACCTGCGTTCCTTTCCTTTTGACTCTGGGAGTTTACGAAAATAGGGGAGCCCTAAAAGAGACCACCAAATAGTAGGATTCCTTTATCATCAGGACCCCAATAAGATACCCATAATTTCGAAAACCCGCCACATGCCTCAGCTTCTTCCCCAAAAACCCAAAGCACTCCCTGCCGCTTTCGCTGCCAGGACTTCGGGCGAGCCAGCTCCCTGGCAAAGAAGGCGGGCGTCCTTCCATGGGCCCTAGATACTTTGGCATGGTGGGGTGGCATTTTGCACCCTTAAGTAGGGTACTTTAAACTCAATAAGGAGTAGAAATTTACATTTTTAATGCTATCCCAACCACGGTTTACTAAAGGGGTGGAAGGTTTCAGGTGTACAGGGCCAGGGTCTTGGGTTGGCGGGATGGTCTGGGAAGTTGGGACTTCACGGAGCCGTGCAGCTGTGAGATGAAGGGCACATCGTGACACAGTTGCAAGAGGCTCCGCTTAGTACTCAAACCGTCCTTGGAGCGCTACAGTTGCAGAGTGCTGCTTTTTTTCTTAAGAAGGCAGTTTTTGTTGCAACTGAGGGAGGGTTTGCGGTCCTGGCTACGTTTGTGCGTGAGCCGAGATACACGAAAGAAGAGGCTAAGGCCTAAACCCTGGACGTCAGTTCAGTTAGGCGGGAGGAATGAAAGACCTAAACCCCTAACCGCCCTAACCCCTAAAAACCTAAAATCCCTAAACCCTATCCCCTGAGCTCCTAACCTTTCAGGGCTTCAGCTTCTGAACCTTTGTATGATGCCAGGCGACGGAGAGCCTGGAGGTAGTCGCGCGACGCCACCGGTCCTGAAAAGGGTTTAGGGTTTAGGGTGTAGGGGTTTAACACCAATCCTGGGAAACTCATTATCCCAAGTTCCACACCAAATCGGGCGCCGAGCTTCGGCCTGGTGTTTCAGGGGATAGGGTTTTAGGGTTTAGGGTTTGGGGTTTAGGGTTTAGGGTTTAGCATGGTACTTGTAGCCTGTATGCCACATCCGGAATGAAACCCGTCCTGTGACACGGAGCCCCTGTAATAGTTTATGCGCTAACGCCGACACAGGGGCCTGGCTCCTACAGTCTTTACCGGGGTTCCCCGATCTGTGTGGGGGTTTCTTCGTGGGGGGTT